ACATTTTTTTTTTTTTTTTTTTGGCTATTTGATCCAAAAGTCCCTGACTCCTATGAGAGAAGTGCATTTGCAGGAAATAAATTTCTTCAGAGAAATGCATTTGATTGTATACTACATTGTAGCTGTCTTGTACAGACTGATAAATTTGGGAGGAGAATGAGATAGTTGTAAAATGAGATGTGATGGAATTCTGTTCAATATTTTTGTTTCAAGTCTCGTCGGAAGACTGCATTTATCCTAGCAGCCTCAAGGGAGGCTGGCCATCTGATGTTAGATTTTTTTTTCTCTCTCAGGCACCTGTTGACCTTTTTGCTTTCCCTCCCCAATGAGGAAGTGTGTTTGCATTCCCTCAGCTATGAGGAAGTCTGTGCTGTATTGACAGTAAAAAGTGGGCTTGGCTCCACATTGTACTGAGAGATAAACCAGACAGAAGTGTAGATTGTTGTAGGAGTCTAAAACATCATAAACAAGGACGATCTAGGACTGACAAAACTGACTTTAATCTTATAGAGATCTTTTTTTAAAAAAGTAGAATTTAATACATATCCATTATGCTGTTTTCAAAATAAAAGAAGTATTTTGTGAAGTATGGAAAAGAAGTAAGCAGTAAGCAAAATAAATTAAAGAAATAAAAGGGAGGAAGGCTAACTAAATCTAGTTTGTACCAATTCCATTCATTATACTTCTCTAAACCTTTTTATCACAGCATATTGTTTAGACCCCATCTATACACTGATTCAAACATTAAATGTATGCCCTACCAATGTATTTTAAATTGGTAAACAGGTCATAGGATATCTTCAAACTCATCAGTATTGAGTGGACATGTGTATTACTTGAAAAGAAAAAGAAATGTAGTAGATCAGCCCAAAGTCCACCTTGACTACTGTTTCTTTTAAATAGGATTTGATTCCAAGGTATGCTTTTCTTTTTAATATAGAGATTTATCTACCCACACATTTTATTTGTATAGCCCATATATTACATGTGGTGTGCAGTGGTGGGTTGGGGCATTATTCTGATGCAAAGATCTCAGACTGTATGGATATGTATTAAGACTCTCCTCAGTCTTTCCTCAATTTCAGTACAGATGAGGTGAGGATGTGGATGAGGATGATGATTAGATTTTTATCCTAATATATATAAAAAAAAAAAAAACTCAAGGCAGAGAACATATCTAAACCACCTGCCTCCTATTTTCCCCTCAACAACAACCCTGTGAGGTGGGTTAAGCTGAGAGAGAGTGACTGGCCCAAAGTCACCCAGCTGGCTTACTTGAGAAAGAAGGCTAAATCTTACCATATCTCCTCCTGCTCGACCTGATTTTTCTGAAAGGTCCTGCTTCTGTCAGAGCCAACAAGCATAGAGTCCTTTAAGACAAAAATAGCTGGATTTTTTTACAGGAGGCCCCCATGGTTATTGACTTTGCAGCAGTGGGGTTTGTAAGAAAACTGGAGTGTCTGCAGCTTAAACACATAGGAGAGCTTGTGGGACCTGTGAAAATCTTTACCAAAGGTTTAGAGGGAGGCACGTTTAAAAAGATTTAAAAGTAGGGGCATAGTGTAGAAAAACTGTAGAGACTCCTTAGGTCAGTGTTGTCCAAACTTGGCCACTTTAAGATGAGTGGACTTCAACTCCCAG